ACGCTAATGACTACTAATGTGTAAGTAAATAACTGAACATGAACATGACATGAAACTCCATGTCATGAACTGCTCAGAGACACAGGAGTTGAGGATCAAAATGCAATAGTTTATTTTAGGGTAATCCAAAAAAAAAAAAAGAATTTCAAAACAGGCAAACAGTACATACAATAATAGAGTCCAGGGCAGAGGGAAAACAGAGAAATACAAAGGGACTGGGCATAAAGTCAAAACCCATGAATATGAAAAATCAAAGACAGCATTCAGAAATGCAGTGGAGACACATACAAGACTTCTGCAATGACTGAATGAATAAGGAGGAAAGGAGGAACAGGAGAAAGGGAGAGACGCCCGGTGAAGAGAAAGGACACGCTGGACAGTGCGTGTGGGGAAAGGGGAGTTTTGAAGTGCTCGTGCTGGATACAAGCTTTCTTTGGAAAATCGCTGGGGTGTGGAGATCGCCCATTTGAGTTTGCTGGATCAGAGTGATCCTCTGTGGGAAGACTGCTGGACTGAGCTATTGACTGGATCTGTGCTGTGGAAGGAGAGAGAAAAGAAGATAAGTGAAGTGATTTTCTTCTTATGAACATTTTAACCGCTTGAAGAGGATACAGTGAATGTGGATCTAACTGTTGGAGGAGCTATGTGTTTCAAAGCTAGTGCAACAAACTGAGTGAGGCCTGTGATCAGCCCTATCGTGTGAGTGAATTGCAGTGCTTTTGCCTTATTGATTCACAAGGATTTATGGCTGTGGAATTGAAGTGAACACAAGTGTGATGTGTCTTTACTGAGAAGAGGGCCAGCTTTGCTGTGGATCCGTACTCCTCTCCGTCCATCCGAATCCTGTGAAAAGAGAAACTGTTCTGCTGTGAATCTGAGAGAAACAGTTATGCTGTTGAATCCTCACTTGTCTTCTGTCAGCCTGGGTCCTGAGAAGAGGGCCAGCTTTGCTGTGAATCTGAGAGAACCAGTTATGCTGTTGAATCCTCACTTGTCTTCTGTCGGCCTGGCTCCTGAGAAGAGGGACAGCTTTGCTGTGGATTCCGTACTCCTCTCCGTCCATCCGAATCCTGGAAAAGAGAAACTGTTCTGCTGTGAATTCGAGAGAACCAGTCCAGCTGTGAATCCTCACCTGCTCTGTCCACCCGAGTTCTGAGAAGAGCCAGCTATATTGCTGAAACTTCGTTTTAACTTAATTTATTCAATAAAGACTCTGTGCTTTTTTTTCTAACTTACTTTGCCTCTGTGTCCTCTGTGGTGTTGCTCCTCGCGGTGGTACGCGTGTGTCGGGGGGTTGGGACGGCCGGTCATCTGGCGTCCGGCCTCTCCGACCCGTGACATATAGACAAAGTTAAGGGAAAATGAGAAACATCTGAAACTAATCAGAGATAATGCGTCCAGGCAAAAGATTCTGGGAAATGTAGTTCATGGTGGAATGACAATGTCCTGGGGAGGAGTGCCCTCTGGTTGATTTCCTGGGCACTCCAGCTGTTGATCGATACATAGATCAAAGGAGCGGCTTCCAGATGTTCCAAACACAACCATACGTCAAGGAGGGAGGTGGAGTGGAGGAGGACCAGGGGGTAGGACGGAGGGCCAGGTCCGTGGAGTGGAACCAGGACTAGAGGCAGGTCACATCCACACAAAGCCAGAGCTTACCCTATCCAATGTTTTTTTTTCCCTTCTGAAAAAAATTCCATAAACACGGTGTCTCCTCAATAAATATCTGCGTACACACGAAACCACTGAAAACCACGTCTCGTATACATGCCAGACCAGTAAGTGGCGCTATAATTCTCCACAGAGATACACTAAAAACAGAGAAGAAGACTTAGTGTGCTTTCACACCTGCCTCATTTAGTTTTGTTCAATAGGTCTAGAGTTCGTTGTCCCACTTGGTGCGGTTCGTTTGGGCAGATGTGAATGCAGCAATCGCACTCAGGTTGGGCACCAAAAGCGGATGTGGTCAAGGTACGCTTTCAAACGAACTCTGGAGCAGTTTGTTTGTGATGAGAACATGATCTGACCTCGAACAGAGAACTGAGAGCTGCCAAAGAACTGAGTATGTTTGGACAAAACCAGCTGCCGTAGTCAAGACTAAGTTTGTTGACAGTTTGCACAGACAAATTTTAAGTTGTTAGGAGCTGTGGAGCCTCATAGAATCTCATAGGTCCCAATTTTCACAAACTCTAAGAACAGCAAAATCTTCGCTTTGTTTAGCAAACAGCTCAGGGAAAGGGGGTTACATTACATAAGCTGTGTCCCAATGTGAAGGCTGCATCCTTCGAAAGGCCACGGACTGCGAAGGATGCAGCCTATTCCTCCTTCGAAGGATGCACCATGTAGCCTTCGTGGAATTTCCTAATTGTGCAACCAGGTGTTCCCGATTACCGCTCCTGGCGCCAAGTGTGAGAGTGCAGCTGCCATCCTGACCTAATTTGATAAAATTGAGTAAACAGCTATGGAGACAAAATTGACTATTGCAATTTTTTGTTTTATATTTTATTGGAGGACATGAGAGCAGGGGCGTGTAGACAGAATTTTATTTTTGGGGGATAAATAAATAAACATCCATTTCTTCTGCTCATCCAGGGCCGGGTCACTAAGCAGAGATGCCCAGACTTCCCTTTCCCTAGACACTTTCTCCAGCTCTTCTGGGGGGACACCGAGGCATTTCCAGGCCAGCCGGGAGACATAGTCTCTCCAGCGTGTCCTATGTCTTCCCCGGGGCCTCCGCCCAGTAGGACGTGCCCGGAAACCTCCCCAGGGAGGTGTCCAGGAGGCATCCGGAACAGATGCCCGAGTCACCTCAGCTGACCCCTCTCGATGTGGAGGAGCAGCAGCTCTACTCTGAGATCCTCCAGAGGGACCGAGCTTCTCACCCTATCTCTAAGGAATCACCAGCCACCCTGCGGAGAAAGCTCATTTCGGCCGCCTGTATCCGGGATCTGTCTGTCAATCTCCCGTTCCATCCTTCCCTCACTCGTGAACCAAACTCCAAGATACTTAATCTCCTCCATTTGAGGAAGGATTTCTCCACCAACCTGAAGTGAGCAAGCCACCCTTTCCGACTGAGGACCATGGCCTCGGATTTGGAGGTGCTGATTCTCATCCCAGCTGCTTCACACTCGGCTGCAAACCGTTCCTGCACATGCTGGTGTGAAGGGCCAACATGACAAACATCATCCGCAAAGAGCAGAGATCAAATCGTGTGGTCCCCAAACCTGAAACCCCCTGGCTGCGCCTAAAAATTCTGTCCATAAAAATTATGAACAGAACCGGTGACAAGTCCAGGCCCTCCCTGCCGGAGTCCAACATGCACCGGGAAGAAGTCTGACTTGCTACCGGCAATGCGAACCAAGCTCCTGCTTC